GGTGCATGGCTCAAGCTGTGCCAGCTCCGACCTCCTGCTCCTGTTGCTGCTAAACCAGACACAACTGACTCCCACCATTACAGTTGGACCCCCCAGGTGCTCTGACAGGTCTCCCCCACAGCCTGCTTGGCAGTTTCCGGATATGAGGACGCAGTAACCTGTGGCAAGAAATCCTGGAGACTGAGGCCTGGCACACGGCCCCAGGAGGAGGTGTTTTGGGAAAGAAAAACCCTAGTGAGCCAGCATGGCCCGAGAAGGAATAATCTTGTTTAGCTCTGTCAAGTCACTGAGGACTAAACATGTGCCAGACCAGGCAATAGACTCAAAATATATAAATGAGGGGCTCACAGTCTAACGGGGGAGATAGACCTGCTCTTCTCATGGGGGAGACTGGTGCCAACTCCCCTCTGGTGGGGTACAGCCCCCAAGAGGTAAAGCATGGGAGGATATTAAAAGCTTAATAAACATCCCAAGGGCATTAGCTTTAATGGTTATTGTGGAATAAACTACAGGTATCACATCAACTGCTGATGTGCAAATACATGCATAAAGCACTGAAAGATATCCCAGAAACAGTTTCTTCTTCCCCCTAAGAGTTTCAAGATTTCCCTGACAATACCTGTTTATATTCTTGACTGGTTTGGTAAACCATTTTTGAATAAGCAATGCAAAGGTAAACTTCAGTCCCAAAAGGACAGAACTTAAACATAATTTGGAAAACGAATTGATCAGGAGAACGCAGAAAACCAACACTGATTTTTTTTTTAAGGAAGAATAGTTAACGTTTACTAAATATGTACATATCGTCAAGCACTGCACTAAGGGCTTCCCACGCATGGTCTCATTCAATCGTCACACCAATCCTCTGAGATAGATGCTGTTTTTATTACTGTCTCCGGGTTACAGATGTGGCAACTGAGTCTTAACCAAGTAACTTGTTCCCCCGCCATCACTGTAGGAGGCAGGTGTCACCTGACCATTTATCCACAGGGGCCACACCCTTAACCACCACACCAACTGTCTCCCCTTACTGGCCAGTCCCCTGTTCCCGCCTGAGACATCTTTTCTCAGAATTTGGCCCTGAATTCAGGCTTCAGGATAAGTTCCTTCATTGTGATAAGCAGGGCCCAGATCTCTGACAGCTGTTCCCTGCTCTTCATCATCATCTGAAACAATCAGTAAGCATTAGAGAGTACTTTTCCCTTTACAAAGGTGATAATTAGATAACAAGCTGAGATTAAAGTAATTACCGTTAGACAGCTGGCGAGCCAGCACAGTCGCGTTGAAATATTGTTGGTACTTCAGCATCTGGTTCTAACAACAGCACAGGCTAAAGGATTTTACATTAATTACAGAACATAATTTAATATAAACATATTTAATTGCAATTGATGAGCGATAAACTGTTCAAGAATGACTTAACCCCTTCCGCATGTCAAAGTGATGGGAACTTTGGGCAGGCTGCGGCCTCTTCTGCTGTCTCTCTCACCCTCCCTCGCCATGCCTCCACACTCCCTGGTCCCCTCTCCTGGAGAAAACCCCCCTCTGAGGAGGATTTTCCTCATTGATTATCCCGTGGGTTCTTGGCGCATGTACTGCGCTGCTCATCCTGGGAAAGCCCGGTGGAAGGAGGCCAGTGTACCAGCCTGGCTGGGATGCATTGCTTGGGTGTGACCAGCTGCCCTTCCTCACAGGGGCTGGCGAAATTCTCGCACCTTTATGTGGTGCTGGCTTGGCTTCTGACAGTCAGTGAGCAGCCTGTTAAAAATAATCCTCAGATCTCTTAGCAAAAGTATAAAGGCAAACCACTTTTTTGTCCTGACTAGAAAGTCCCTGGCCACAATAGCCAGGGTATTTTCACAATTTTGGAATCAATGTGTAATACCTGGAAATTTCTTCATGAGATGGGACACTTTCTATTCTGGTAGGAATTCATGCTGCCAACCCCCATCACTACCCCCACAATCTCCACTAGATAAAAGACTCAACCAGCATTTTTTGCATATCATCTTTCCAGAAGCTCCATTCACTAATAGGACACATTCAAAAGCCACAAAAATCATGTTATGAGCTACATGTCTGTGTTCCCCAAAATTCATATGTTGAGACTTAACTCCCAATAGGATGGTATTAACTGGTAGAGCCTTTGGGAATTAATTAAGTTTAGATGAGGTCATGAGGCTAGAGTCCCCCATGATGGGATTAATGTCTTGTAAGAAGGTAAAAAGACTAGAGCTTTTTCTCTTGGCCATGTGAGGCTAGAGCAAGAAGGTGGCTGTCTGCAAACCAGGAAGAGGGCCCTCATCAGAACACAACCATTTTGGTACCCTGATCTGGACTTCCCAGACTGCAAAACTATGAGAAATAAATATCTGTTGTTAAGCCACCCAGTCTATAGTATTCTGTTATAGCAACCTGAACTGACTAAGACATACCACTAGATCTCAACTGCATTGAGATGATTCTTAAGAGTTGATCCAAAGAAGTTACAAGGCTCCTTCCTAAAAAAAAAAAAAGAGTGAGTAGCCCTAGAGCAAGTTGGAAAAAATCACCGTTAAGTTTCCCTATGTGACAAATGATGTGGAATTACAAGGAGCCTTACTGTTTTTACTTCTTCCTGTGGATTTCAAGGTATAAAGCACACATTCCCCTAAAAGCTAAAATGAGGGTTGAAAAGTTTATTATTCATAATAAAACTTCTAGAGGAATTACTGACAGGCGCACACAAAGTAACATTAATGTGAAGATTCGGGACCACATATCACCAAGGGACAACCAGGCACTCTCTCCAAGTGAAAGTTGTTCTATGTATAACCTTTTGAAAGAAGAAGTTTAACTTTCCTGACACAGCAAATCCATGATGTAAGAACTATCAGGTATTTTCTGTAGATTTATATTCCTGTAGGAGTGAGGAAGGGACAAGAAGGAACGTAGCCAATAAAGAAGCATTGGCTAATTTAAAAGTTACCACTCTGTCATAAAAATTAAAAAGTTTTATGGGTCGAAGGACACTAGCTAGAAAGTGAAGAAAAATGACAGAATGGCAGAAAGTATTTATAAATCATATGTGATAAGGGTCTAGTACCTAGAATATAAAAAGAACTATTACAACCCAACAATAAAAATACAAATAATCTAATTGAAAAATGGGAAAATAATCTGATTCGATATTTTTCTGAAGACAATATACCAAAGGCCAATAAGCACATGGAAAGACTCTCAACATCATTAATCATCATCCAAACCAAAATGTGCTACCACTTCACACACCCCAGGATGGCTGTAATAAAAAAGATAATAACAAATGTTGGTAAGGATGTGGAGAAACCAAAAACCCTCATAAATTGCTGGTGGTAATATAAACAGCACAACCATTGTGGAAAACAGTTTGACAGTTCCTCGACAAGTTAAATATAGTTACCATAAGACCCAGCAACTCGATTCTAGGTACATGCCCAAAAGAATTTAAAAGATGTCCATACAAAAACTTGAACATAAATAGCAGCATTATCCATAATAGCCAAAAAATGGAAGTAATCCAAATATCCATCAATTGATGAATAAACAAATTGGTATATCCATATAATGCACTATCGTCCAGCCATAAAAAGGAACCAAGTATTGATACATGCTATAATATGGATCAATCTTGAAAACATCATAAGAAGTGAAAGAAGCCAGACACAGAAAACCACATATTGTATGACTACATTTATATGAAGTGTCCAAAATTGGTAAATCTATAGAGACAGAAAATAGATTCATGGTTGTGAGGAGGCTGGAAAGAAAGGGAACTTAAGAGTGACTGCTAATAAGAATTTTTATTTTTTTTTGGGGGGGGGGGGGGGTGGGGAGGAGTGATAGAAATGTTCTGGAATTAGTGGAGATGGTTGCAAAATATTGTGAATACACTAAAAGCTACTGAACTGTACACTACATAATAGTTAAAACAGTAGATTTTTATGTTATGTAAATTTTATCTATTTTTTTTAAGGTACCAATCTGGGAATTTGAGCTTAGTCCCACTAGGGAAGCCTGGGAATCTGTGTAAAGTGATCACAGATGTTCAAGAGGTGAGGATGCTGGGATATTTATACCCCAACTCCCATCAGTCAGTGACTGCAGGTTGCTTCCAGGAGGCATAAATTCCTTGCACTTTTGGCCTAACTGCCAAAGGAGCTCTGGTGGTTAGAGATCGTCCTTAGGCATAAATGTTGGTGCTGACAGACGACAGGCCAGTGCGGCCCCGAAAGGGTATAGGCAGGAGATCCAGGCAGTGCACTGACAATCTGCTACTCTCTCATTGAGTTGTCTTGGGATTAAATAAGAAAATCTGTGTAAAATGCTTCACAGTGCTAGACACAGAGAAAGCTCTTAATAAATGTGAACTATTTTTACAGAAGATTCAATAAGGCTAAATAATTTGATCAAAATTGCATAGCTAATGCAAGACAAAGAGAGGATTTATGCAGATCTGTCTATACCATGCAGTCTTTCACATAGAGAATCATACTAACCAAATTTGTAAACATACCTATAGGATGGCAATCATGTCTTGAGGACATTCAGCAACTATAACAAATATCTTTGTATCTTTACTCTCTCTCCTGCCCCTTATGTGTCTTCAATGGGGACAGCAGCTGCTTGTCTCACAAAAAGGCCTCAAGGGCAGATGTTCTGTCGGCTCAAGTTGTCCAGGGTCTGAATATTACATGGTTTGTTGTGTAGGTGCTTATTTGAGATTCAAAGCCTGCACATTTGCTGACAGTTTAGTCCAAAGGACCAAGACACCGTACACCTGAGGCTGCAGGAGCAGCAGGACGACACTTGCCTCACCCACATGTCGGTCCCCCTGTTCTCCTCTGGAATAATCTGACTTTCAGTGGCTCAATGAAAGAGGTGCGCTAGCAGAGGAAAATGGCAGGAATCCCTTCCCAAAATGCCCACCTGAGTTCCCAGAGGGTTGACGTGAGGATGTGGGCTGCAGAACCCAAGCCTACCTGATCAGGTAGTGGTTGATAATGGTGTCAAAGTAGCTGTAGTACACGGCATTGTTCACGTGGCCATACTGGTCATTGTCCTGCCACCTCGTCTGGATGGGCAAGAAGTACCCATAGGCCTCCTGGTAACGATGACAATCTTCAACCCGCTGGTTCTCTGATGATGTAGTCAAGGAACGGACATTCCTAGGAAGCATTCTCCAAACCCAAGAGGCCATAGTCGGTGATTGCTGCCGTGAAGGGTACCTTCAAGTGAAAGGGCAGCATAGAATAAGACGGTCTGCAGAAATCTTTAGCTTCACAAAAGCGATTGCATTAAATTTTGGCCATTGGTTTCAAAAGGAAATTAAAGTTTTTCCCCTAAGAAATAAATCTTCCCTGATAATGCAGGTCCTTGTCACAAACCTATTTACTGTTCTTATTATTGTTATTGATTTGGGAGAAAGGAAGGGGCATTATTTTAGCCTTATATTTATATATCTTTATAAATATTCTTAAATTGGACCATACAACACAAGTTATTTTGGAATCTTTTGTGCTTAACAATAGATTATTGATATGTTTAAATACTCTCCTACATCATTTTAATGTTGAATTCCATTATATTCCATTGTATCAAAGCACCACAATTTATAAAATCCTTTATCGCATATTGAGGATTATGATTCCAATTTTGTTGACTCAGATTGGAATTTTTGTAAATAAACCTTCACACACACACGTGATTATTTTCTTAAAATAAATACCTAAAAGCAGAATTGCTGGGTCAAAGGGCAAATAAATTGTTAAGGATTTTGATTTAACAATTTATACCACCCCAACAGTGGCCAATTTCCTTGTCAATTTTAAAATGCTTTGTCAATTTGACTGTGTTCTCTCATTTCCATATAAATTTAATGAAATGTGCTAAATGGAAAGATGACTACTGCTACCAGCTATGATGGAATAAATAGTATCAGAATAACCCTTCTGTTTGAGAACAACTATAAAAGTGAGATAAAATGTAAAAGAAGAGCCGTGTGAAGGCGTGAGGAAATAATCACGGTAGCGGGTCTTTATAGGCTGCAACCCTGGGGACAGGGTAACACACTGCAGTGAGCTTGCACTTGCTACTGTTGTTTCTCATCAGGGTATCTGCCAATTTACTATGTGGGGAATAAAGGCTGAAGAGATAACAGCAACCTAGAGCTTGCAGTGGTCTTGCTTTGTTGGAAGAGGTGACAAAATTGAAAGGCCAACATCCTGGAGAAGAGTGAGCTGCAGAGAAGTGAGCCTCATAGTGCAAATTTCCCCAAAGGCATTTGCTGACTCCTAAGCTGCACGTGCTCCAATGAGACAGAGAAACCAGCAGAAAGCAACTGCTACAAGGCTTAAAACCTAGGAAGAAAACAGGAGTCTCACTGTGCTGAGGACTGCCAAGGAGGAAGGTAAAGACCCCAGACTTTCAGTTTCGACCCCAAAAGGGCCACTTCCTTAGAGTGAGAGCAAACTCTATATGGACCAGCCTTGAGCAAGGCTGTCTACCCAAACATCACCTCTCAGCCAGTGGAAACCTAAATCATCTCTGCAGGAAAACAGCACCATCCAGAGTCTCCACAACTTTTTAGACACAAAGTCTAACATTCAGTTAAAAACTACCAGGCCTATTAGGAAAGAAGAACAAATGACCAAAACCCAAAAGAAAAGACAATAAAATAGTCCCACAGACTCACACTGATTTTAAAATAACTATGATTAACAGACATCAAAAATAAAGGGAGACTATGCATCCCAAATACATAAAGAACTCTAAAATTCAGAGAGGAAAGATCAAAAACCAATAAAAATTAAGCAAAAGTCACCCACAATTCACAAATACAGATTTTTAAATGACCTTTAAACATATGAAAAGATGGACAAGTTCAGGCATAATTAAAAAAATGAAAATTATCACTATGCTGAGATACCTTTTCCCAATGATTAGACTTGGTAAAAATTACAAAGCTTGACAGCACATTCTCTTGACAAAGGCACAAGGAATGAGACACTCATACATTGCTGGTGGGAGTGTCCTGCCTTATGGGAGAAGAATTTAACAACATCTAACAAAACCACAAGTGAGTTTACCTTTTGCCCACATCTAAAGTTACCTTGAAGATATACTTTCACCAGTACAAAAGTACATCTGAACAAGGTACATCAGCGTTTGTAATTGAAAAATATTGGGGGGGGGAACTCACATAGGACATTGGTTGAATAAACTATGATACATTCACACAATGGTATACTATGCAGCTGTACATGAAAACTAAAGAATATATGATATGGAAATCTTGGTTGTCAACCAAAAAAAGCAAAGTGCAAAAGACTATATATAGTATGCTACTTTTGTGTAAGAAATAAGAGGAAATAAGATAATATAAAAGTATTTATTTACACTTACAAAAAGCAATTCAGGAAAGTTGAACCAGAAACTAATGAGGGCACATTAACAAGGTAGACAGGGTGGAGGAGGGGTAGTAACACGCTTCTGAATACAGCTTTTTGTGTAATTTTGGGTTTGGGAGCTTTAATGTTTTATATACTCACCCAAGATGATGATGATGGTGATGGTGGAGAATTTAAACCTAAAATGGAATACAAACAGAAACAAGTGAGCCTAACTATATGTCAAATGAATAACATAATTACACAGAAGAGGAAAAATAACTACTTTTGAGTACAGGGTTTTGATTATATACCCTCAAAGAAAAATCTTCTAACAAATATTGAACACTGGTTAGTAGGTATGTTTTTTATATTGACAGAATCTAAGCCTGGCAAATGAGTAAATATACTAAGGATAATTTAGCCAGATTTCTCACTTACAAAAAGGACTTGCAAACACAGGAAAGAGAAAGACCAAAATGAACCTTCAAATGTTAGGTAAGATTTGGGAGTCTAGTATTAATGCCTAGGTTAGGGATAGAGATAAAGACAGCCCTCTTTTTCCTTGCCCTTTTGAGCCCTGTGGCACTCCAGCAGCAAGATAAGCACACTTAGTGTCCAGATCTTATTTTCTAAATACCATTCTACACAAAATGGAACCAGGACTCCTTGAAGAAATGACTGATCCCAATGCCGGGGCAGATAAAGTAAAAGGTGACCCTGGAACATCTCATTGTTCCAGAAAGTAAGGAATGTTTGAAGAATGAGGGGTATGACAAAAGTAATCTGTGATAGAAATCAGAAGATTGTTACCTCGGGTAGGGACGATGACTGGGAAGTGGCACAAAGATGGCTTCTGTACTGTTAGTGATATTCTACACTGTGGTCTAGATGGTGTTTACATAGGTACATTACTTTGTAGAAATTAATCAAGCTTATTCTTTTATGACTGTATTGTATTTCGATTAAATGTTTCCCCAAAACTGTGCTACATGGAGAGAAGTTGCAGGATTACAATAAGTTAAATCTCTAATGTCCAGAGAGCTCTCTCTCTCTCTCTCTCTCTCTCTCTCTCTCTCTCTCTCATTATTCAGGGAATTTATCTCTTGTACATTCACCCTAATACAAACTCAGAAAACTTGAAGAAGTCAAGATTCTTCTTTAGCCACAGAAGGACCTGTTATATTGGTTGCTTTGTGGATATGTGCATATTTATATGGCCCCCAAATAGATAATGATGAAGACAGACTTAACTCTCACATAGTGGAAGCACAAGTAATGACTTAGAATCCTTGATGACCTGAAAATAACCTGCCATCTAAATGACATTTAAAAGGAGAAAGTTCTTAAACTTGTACATTTTTACATTAAATTTTTCCTAAGGAATCAACCTTCATCATCTGTACCTTTTGGCAACACGAGGCTAATATTCATCCACTTGAACGCATACAAAAATCTCAAAATAAAAGAAATCTCTGCATGAGTGATACTGAGTACTAGGTGGCATTCTGACTGACCACTATGAGAAAGTCGAGGGAAGTAATTTTTTAAAATTAATAATCCAAAGAAAATCCATTTTGATACCTGCTTCATGCTCAGATTTTATAAATAATATTAAGAGCTTTCCCAATCCTTTGGGAATGAGCTCTGACTCCACAAAGTCGCCATAAATGGGCACTTTCCTGAAGTCTAAGTGTGTGGGGGAGGAGGATCCTGCCATGCAAATAAATTCTCAGGAAGCTGTGAAAATATTCGCTATTTTGCTCAATTTATTCCAAGCCGAAATATAATAGTACATTATAAATCTGTTTTGATTTTACTTAATCTAATGAAAAAATGTTCATCTTTTTGATAAGTGCTCATTAGCCATTTTTTCCTGACATAAACAGACAAGAAAGATGTTCTTGTGCTACATTTAAAACGCAACTCAGCTAATTACAGTGCAATGACTCAAAGAACAAAATCAATGCACTAAAGTTTCTCACTTGAATTGTCTTTATAGTTGAATTAAAAAAATCTAACAAAAAAAATTTAAAGGGCCCTAGCAGTGTGTTTTACACTTAGGTTGAATAATGTTTAAGTAAACAAAGGCCGCATTTTAGTACGTGATTTAAAAAAATTAAATTTTCTCAGGTCAATTGCTCTCCAAAAATAGTTTCTGAATTTACCAACAAAAATCTCAAAATAGAAGAAAGCCCTTTCTTGGAAGGGGTGATAAATTTGCATAAGCACTTCACCCTATTTCACCTGTCCTTTGTGAGACCAGAAGCTGCAAGGAGATAATATTTGGTCAGTGTTGGAGCCAGAATGGGACCAGGAAATAGCAAGAAATTAAGATCTATTTAAGAATCAAACTTACTTACAGGCCAAATTTATGCTTAGGACTTTTAGGAATATCAGATAATCTTGGGCTTTTTGAATCACAGAGTATTGATCTACTGAAATATTACACTGAATGAGTCTAACAACATTAGTGCCATTTTCCAAAGCACTTGGTTTATGCTCCAGGAAGAATTTTGACTAATCTAACTCCTTGGGCATCTCAAATCTGGCCACATGACTCAAATGATCACTTCATTGATTATTAAAATTGTGTTTTATTATGAAATATATTTACCTGAAACTAGAAACTTTACAATGATTGTAGATCTATGACAAATAAATTATGTGTCTTGTACCCACTTATTATGTGCCAGCTCCCATGCCAAGGGCTTCACATACATCATGCCATTTAATCTTTATGGCACATCAATTCTCATTTTAAAGATGAGGAAATTGATGCTAGGAGATGTTAAGTAATTACCCCAACAACTAATCTTTGTGATGTTTTGCCTTGGAGTTTGGGTACAATACACGTAACTGGGTGCCACAGAATTTTAGTAATTAGTTTATGTGTACCATGAGATGAAAAGGGTTGAAAATCGCTGGTATAAGAAATAAGTTTCTAACATACAAAACATTTAAAATTCACAAAATTGAAAACTACAACAATGTGGGGGTAAATTGTCTGTTGTTACAAGTTGACAAGCAGCATAAACCCACACACTCACCCTAAAGTCCCCCCTCCAACATGGATTATCACTGGGACGGAGATGGGCTGGATGTCTTATAAATTCACTTCTGACTGTATGACTCTGAATTTGAATCAAAATCTACTGTAGAATATGAACAAAAGAATCATGCTAGCCATCAGGAAGGCCCTCCTCTCCTGTCAGCTCAGCCTCAGAAGACTAGATTATAAGAACCAAAGGCAGTGACCCAAAGCATTGCAAAGATAAGGGATTCGGAACGGAGAAGACTCAGTTGGCCAGAGGCCACAACCTAGAGTGCTGGGTTGTTCTGCTCAGCTCCTAGAAGCCAAGTCCAAATCGAACCGACAATCAATCAATATTCATCGGGTCCAGGATTATAAAAAACTACAGACACGGTCCCAGAAATAAGACTGAGACGTGGGAAATGGGCTGTGAGATCATTAAGGACGACAATGACCATGAACCTTTCTTTTCCCCTCAGGAGCTGGGCTGCCAGGCCTGGGTTTCATTCCGAGACATTGTTCTTCAGTCCCTTTTCTAGAGAGTGAGGGCCATGTTTTGAACAGCCACAGCAGTTAATTCTGAAGACAGTGACTGTACAAGGCTGGTGATGGTACTCACAATCCTGGTTCCTTTTATAAATTATTCAGTCCAGGAGCCCCTGGAATGAATATTTTTAAAGTTTGCACTTGAGTTCTTGGAAGAAAAGTACACCAAAGCCAAATAAATGAACACATCTGAAAAATACCTGTTCTTCTCAAGCAATTAAAAAATGCATTGTTATTTGTAAAGCTACTCTCTGTTTCCTTACAGATGAGTGTTAACTTTGCCCCCAGTCAAAAGCTTTTTTATGCATTCCATCCCAAATTGCCAGGCTGCCTACAAAATTTGTAATAAAGCAATTAGAAGCACAGAGTAAACAAAATATGTCCTGTAGAATGGCAGGGGCAGAAAGCAGATCAGAAATATTCACACTGTCTGTCAGGCTGTTCCCTGGCTTTTTCTGTGTGTTGTTCATGTATACTAATGTGTGGACAAGAGGGTTGAAAACATTTTGCTAAGAATGAAACCCTAAGATTTATACATAATTTCTAAGCTTATCCTTGGGAAAGAAGCCACAATCTGTTTTCAGACAAGTGTAAAACACTTGCAATTCCCTTTGAAAAACAACGTCCAATCTTCCCTTAAATTGAGATGCCAGAGCAACTAGATTGTGATTTAAATCAGAGAATGAAATTAGTCCAGGTACACCGGGGTGGAAGGAGAGACAGTGCAGACACTGGTAAATGGCCTATGAATTCAAAATGTCGAATCTTCCCCCCAACCCAGCCAATTTTGACTTCCAACAAATTAGAGAAATAAATTGGCAGTTCACCTATGATTCACCAGTAAACAAACATTTTTCACCAGCTACTTCGTGACTATCTTTTGAGCTGAGCTTTTTTAAATTCCATAAAGGATGGGGGCGGGGGCGGGGTTGTAACAATAACTCTCGGAGTTCACAATAATCGTTGGCAGGGTTCTAATGAAAAACAAAAATCTCCACCTAATTCAGGGGTGGGGAACCTTTTTTCTGCCAAGGGCTATTTGGATATTTATAACGTCATTTGCAGGCCATACAAAATTGTCAACTTAAAAATTAGCCTGCTATATTTGATCAAACATTTAATTAACTTCCCCCTAATGCCTTGGCAGGGCCAGACCAAAAGATTTCTTGGGCCTTATACAGCGTGCAGGCCAGACGTTCCCCACCCCTGATCTAATTCCAACAATTCGCCATAGTAACATAGAACTTCATATTATTAATACTAGCGTGGCCTGAGGGAGAGATAGAATCTCAGTGAGGAGCAATCTGACAATGTCAGCTAAAATCCTGCATCTCTGATCAAACCAAAGCAATTCAGATTTCAAGTTGGGTTCAAAAAAGCATAAACACGGACCAACACCAAGGATGGACTTGACCAAATGTCTACAGTTGCAGCAGAAATGAACCGATTGTCCTGGTTGGATAGAGGCTCTGCTGGCTAAGATTTTGCTGTGCTCCGGGAAAATGGACCCATTTGTTGGTCCTTCTGACAAAGCCGGATTAAGGATTTGACCTCCATATTCCCATAAAACTCAGTACACCTGGGCCAAATCATACTCCCAGATTCATCAGCTCTTCTCCTTGAATTCTATAACCAGCGAAGATCTCTGCTAGCAGAGAACTGGGGGGTTGGGTGGGGATCATTCTGATTGGAGGAGTTTCTATTCCACAGAGGTGTCTTTATCTCAGCTAATCTATCCCACTGGTAGGTTGGCCGAAACCAAACCTATCTCTCCAAGGTAAGGACACTCAGGACTCAGCCCAAGGTGGCATCTATGGTATTTAGTCCAAAACTTTGCCATCAAGAGAGCACACACTCTGCCTAGTAGGGCTTGTGTGGCTCCCCTTTTCTGCCCGCTCCCCCCACCCACTCCTCTCCTGTGGAAGGCATTGATTCCAGGCAAGGGGATATATAGCCAAAGACAAGAGAACCTTCTACAAAATAATTTTTGCAAAGGTTCAGGTAGGGAAAGGGGGTGTGTTTGGAGGGATGATTTTCCACCAAATCTTACAGCCTCGCATTAAATTCTGTCCAAGTGGGCTTTTGTCAAAAATTGGTCCAAATGCTGGGAAGTGATAATCAACTGAAACCAAAGTGGTCTTTCTTTACAGGAAGATTTCAAATTCACCATCCTTTTCATGGGAGAGGTGGGTCGGGAGGTGGGAAAGTGGTTTTTTAAAAGACACAGCCGATCACTAATGTGCTGATCTAACTTTGTCAACGACATTTCATCCCAGATGGCAAGTGAAGGAGACACTAGGATTTAAGGCACCTAGACACTTGACAGCAGAATATGAAGACATTAGGGGGGAGGGAAAACCAAACCAAACAAGAATCCTTAAATTGCATTATTTCAAAGGCATATAAGTCTAAAAGCAATCTAAGATACAATTTTAAGAATAATAAGCATCTGAACCTCAGAGTAATATGAACTTCCAAATGCAGAGAATGGAGATACTGACTATATATGAATCTGTTCAGAGACTTTATTCCAGGGCATGAGGCTGAGCTGCTGCAATGTACACAAGTGGGGTGCAAAGTCAATGGGATTACATTCTCCTAATTATTTTCTGCTTGAGCTTTACAGCACATACACAAAATGAGATCAGCCGGGACTTGCCTCTCTAACAAATCACTCAGATTTAAACATTGCTCAAATAAACAAAGGGGGGGGGGAGGCACAAGGCTGGGAAAAGGCAGAGAAGGGCTTCTTCAATCACAGTTGCAAGGAACAAAAACCTGGAGGGGGAAAAGAGTTGTTGGACCGCCACCAAATCTCCCCCACTGGAGACAAGAGCCCATCTGCTGAGCTCGGCAACTTCGCTTTAACTACCATTCAGCTTGCATCTCTGCAGAGATCTGTCTGCAGAGCTGGCAGATGGACCCCTGCTTCCCCGAGTCGCTGTGTTATTTGTTTAATAAATTTAATTAATATCCATACTGCATTGGATTGCTCCCAGAAAAGGAGCCCAAGTGCTCCCTTTCCCCAATAGCTACATGATGAGTGATTTCCCAGCAAAGAGCAGATAACGGTACCCCGGGGCCCCTGAAAAAATTAAAGTACCATGTGCTTACATTACTTTGCATGTGTTAATTTTCTGCAGTACACTAATATACTTTTGATGGGTATTTTAACTTTATGAAAGTATGCAGTTCTATAAAACTTTCTGATCAGTTATATTTGTTGGAATGTTTTTAAAAGAATCTAATTTAACCACATTTGTTGTTGTTTTTTAACCCTCACCCGAGGATATTTTCCTACTGATTTTTAGAGGGTGTAGAAGAGAAAGTTAAAGACAGAGAGGAATATGAATGTGAGAGAAACACATTGATTGGTTGCCCCTGCATGTGCTCCAACCAGGACCCGGGCCGAGGAGGAGCCTGCAACCGAGGTATGTGCCCGGGTCATGAATGGTAAAGAGGTTCCCTTTGGCAAACAGCTAGCTCCACAACCGACCATTGTTAACAAAGTGAGACACCTCCCTGATCATATTGAACTTGAATTATTTCCTAAGCTGAAATATGTGGTGGTTGCAAACATGGGAAACAGAAAGGGTCTTAGACAAAATCAAGGCGGTAACATGCTCCCTCTTCATTAAGTGGTAACAGAGTCCCTGCGATCAGCAAGTATGAATTAAAAGTGTTTTACTCATACTGCTATCCAATGTCATCCTCTCTTTCTTGTCTGTATAGTTCATCTTAACCTAGATTCCCCATAGTGTGTTGCAAGAAAGAATAGTCCTTTGAGGATATAAAAGTCTAGGGAACATTATGTCAAAGAAGGTTAAAGGGGGGCTGCTACCATGACCATGGCCTCCAGTAGCAGTGGCCTTCCTGCAACCCGTCTCCTGTCCCGCTCCTTCCTCTTGCAATGGAATGGAATTCAGCATTGTTCCTATACCACTTCCCAGAAACATCTGTATGTTGATAAAAATACAGAGGTTATTTGCCAGGGTTTCACCTGCACCTTTCATAGCCAACAGGCATTGGAAACAAAACAAACGAGGGGCCTGCTATGGAGCTGTACCTCAGCACCCGCTCCAAGGCTGCCAGTGTTGTTGCCAGTGTTGCCGCCACCAAGACGGCCACCAGCAGCCTGGCTGCAGACAGCCAGCAGTGTGGAGATGTGGAAGAGAGAGGGAAAGACAGAGAGAAATATCTTTCCAGGAGTCAGGGCAGCTCACTACTGGATCTGCGTCTTGGGGTCAAGCTGCCTGGGATCCCAGGGAGCAATACTTCACACTATAGTACAAAGTTAAGTGAAAGGCTTTTTCAACCTTCTTATGGTTTTAACCTGATTACTCCTTATTTTCGACTTTTGGAAAACAAAGATAATAGTCTCCATGATCCACATTTAAGAGCATACCATTCATGCAAAGATATCCTGAAGAGATTAAACAAAGATGGCTACTTCACCAGCAATAATGAAGTTGTATGTGCCTGGATGGAATTGAATAAGTACAGGCAATATCTTACCAGTTTAAAATTACTAGTAGACTTGGAAAGAAATTATGAAAGAGAACAAAATTGCTTGCAAAATAAGTAAATAAGCTACAAGAAAACAATAAACTACCTGGACTTTCTGATGTTGCACAGTTTCAAAATTGGTTGTTATCGGAGGATACCCAAACTTTTAAGGATCAGGAGCGATTAGTAAGGCTTAGATATTTGATATGATAAGTAGGGAGTTAGAACAATATGAGCTCACAAAGAACAGCACCTACTCTGGATGGACAGAGAAGAAAGACAACAGTGGGAACGAACAAGAAGAAAACTTAGTCTTCACAGAAAAATTGAAGAGAAATGGAAGACAAAAGAGATGTTACTTTTGACAAAGATTGGAAAAGACGTTAAAAGAGAAGCTAGGATAGAGGAACAATGGCATAGAAACAGAGAAGACAGTGACAAGAAGACAAGCCCTTTTAGAGAAAAAAATGGCTTATCATTTATGAAAAAAAAAAAAAGGCAAGAAAATGGCTTTAAAAGAGAAGAGATGGTAACACTTTCCCCTGAACGTCATTGTAAAGCACTGCTTAGAAATTATGAGTCACGGTAAAAAGGTAAAGCCTTCCTCCTCTAAACTGAATAAAAGCATTTATTGTCAACCTTAGGAGATAAAAGTCAAATCGGTCTTCCTGCAAGCCAGTGAATCAGTTCCACAACCTCCCACAAGATTCTTCTCAAATAATGTGCAAAAAGTACCGGCACAGCCTTTGCCAAAGAAGCTGAAAAAACATCCCACTGTGTTTCTGTAATTCACTGATGAGTTTATTAGAGTCAATAATTTTCTTGTCAACAGAAAGATCCAATTTAACTCTCTTCCAGTTCGTTTTGTGTTTAAGTGATACCTTGCAGTTTAAATAAGAAGCCTTAATCAGGTAATGAAACAGCCAACCCTTGGCATCTTACTATGCAGTAAACAAAGGGGGCTATCACAAATCCAACCCCACTGTGTCCCAAACCACCTCGGACCGCTGCATAGAGACTCAGTCCACAGTCAAAGGATTAGTGGGCCTCTTACCCCATCAGGCTGAGCAGAAAACGGAAAGGGAGAGGATGAAGGGTCCAAGCCTACTATTTCTCCCATGCCTTTCTCCAGTGTGTTCATTTTTTCCTGCCAAGAAAGCAAAGAAGCTTTTAAAATACTTTCATCATAATGACCTACTCCTCACGGGAATTCAAGAGAACCTAAGAGTCCACAATTGTCTTTAAAACTGATAAATACCACAAGCTACAACAAGGTAAGCACCTGTTTCTCACTTAAAAGCTAACTGCCCACTTCAATACAACCATCAGCTCCCCTTCCTCCAACGCCAGGCCAGAGCTGTAGGCACGCATTGATCTGATCAGACACATTGACCCCTAGAAAGTAGTCCATAAGGTGACCAATCATGGAGCCTCTTCTCGTTATGGGGCCAGCAGGGCCCCTCTCCTTCCCCTCCCCCTCCCCCTCCCTCCTTCCTCCTTTTCCTCCTCCTCCTCCTTCTCCAACTGAGGTCCACATCTGGATTCTTCCAACAAGAAAAGGTAAAAAAGTAGTACTAGTAAATCCGTGTGTGTGTGTGTGTGTGTGTACATGTGTAGAAGCTTGTTAAATGCAGTCCTGGCTGGCCTGTCTCAGTTGATTGAGCATCCTCCCATGCACAAAAGGTCACCGGTTGGATTCCCAGTCAGGGTACATACCTAGATTTTGAGTTAGATCCCAGATGAGGGTGTGTAAGGAGGCAACTTGTCGATCTCTCTCTCTCTCTCTCTCTCTCTCTCTCTCTCTCCCTTTCTCTCTCTCTCAAATCAATAAAAACATTTAAAAACATACTGAGGAAGTCCAGAGGGTCAATCAACATGTCCCCCCAAGCCTAGGTTAGGAAATATCTTTGGTCCAAATGGCACTTTATAAGCACATCTTTTATAAGCACATCTGTTTTATTCACAAGAGGCCTCATGCAACCTAAAACTACCAACATGTGCCACAATTTACTACAAAATGTAAACAGAATGCTGTACCCAAGTACCATGTTTCTTTAGGCAGTTTGTAATAACCATGAGTAGATATATTATCCTGGCATTCACAAACGTGGGTGAGAACTGGGAGACGTTTCCATAAAGATTCTTAAAGACTCTGAGCCAAAGTAAACACGCTAAATGTGCTACTTATCAGACACAGTAGAAGGCTGAGACCTTCACTCAGGGCTTTAAAGATATTCTAAAGCTCACTTTACTGCAAGTAGGATTTTCACAATATGAATTTCACTCAAGCGCAAACTGAATAGAACCATGTCGGTATAATCCTCACATATTTCTGCCAGCTGGGATCCTGGATGTTGAGATGTGACCGCTTCACCATGGGCCTGAAACCCCAATCTGTTTCACATGGGTCACTGCACAGCCATCAGATGGAGACACCATGTGGTCACTACCCCACGGAACAGATCCAAACCACAGACGTCGAGGGGAAAGGCTGCAGCTCTCATTTCCAATCTCCCAAGCCATCCCCGTCCCTCTGCAATGGAATATCAATAGAGAGACTAAATGAATTGTTTGCTTAATTGTGCTGTGCAAGCTGAATAATTGCACGCTTTCCAGAAAGGCTTTGTAACCAATGAGATGGCATTGGATCTGCCAAAATCTTTACCTTGAAGCCAACATCTTTTCTTCCTGCAGTCTCTCTCCTATCACAAATAAGGGCAATCCTGGTGTTATTTCCAGAGAGGCAAAACCATGGCAGACACATCAAAAATCGTGTCTTTCAAAATGGAAAAATCTCTATTAAGCTGCACCTACTGAGAACTGCTATCTTCATATATGCCGATGTAAAACCTATAGTCACAAACCCTGATTTAATCCATCACACACTGATATAGCCAAATAATCTACCTTTAGAGTGAGCAAAAGTGGCCCATTACATATGGTGACCACATGTTAAGAGGTAAGAGAAATGTGATGAAAATAAGGGGGGTTGGGGCCTATTTTTAAAATATCAAATATTATGCAAAAAGACTAGGACGATGGAAAATTGAATATTCCTTATTTGTCAAAGTCTTTAGGGTGATAAAAATCAATTAGTACCAACATAGAAAATACTGACATAAGATATGTTGGGTGAAAAAAATCCTTAAGAGTAGCAACAACAAAATTTTAGCCAAAGAAAACTCCATATTACTTAATAAGTCAAGAAAATAAGGCTAAAGGAGATGTCTCCATAACTCTTTTCCCCAAATTTGCTTGAAGCACTGAAAAACACAATGAAAGTTCTCAAAACAAAACATTTGCTTCTTGCCCAGCCAGCATGGCTCAGTGGTTGAGCGTTGACCTATGAACCATGAGGTCACAATTCAATTCCCAGTCAGGGCACATGCCCAGGTTGAGGGTTCAGTCCCCAGTGCAGGGGCATGCAGGAGGCAGCTGATCAATGATTTTCTATCATCATTGATGTTTCTATCTCTCTCTCCCTTCCTCTCTGAAATCAATAAAAATATTTTTTTAAAAAATATTTGCCTCAGGTAAAGAAACTATGTGTAGCACTTTATACTTATTTTATTTTCATTCAGTTATTTTTGAAAAGGAAGGCCTCAAAAACATAGTTCAGATTTTACACATCTCTCTCCCTCCTATCCTGATCTCCATCCATCCATCCCTCCTCCCAGAGGCAACCCCTATTCCTGGTTTATGTTTCTTTGCAGACCAGGTATCTAAATATTCTTTACACTCAGTTTATTTTATCATAATTTTCCTTCTATATGATCTTTTCTCCTCGATAGGTCTATGTTTATACAGTTTGAGATTCTCCAACTGGCTGTTTCTTCTTTGATGCTATGATTCCCCATGATACAGTCCAACTGACATGTCTTCCTGGTAAGATTAGAACATTAGAGGGACAATATGCATCCAGATCAGACAAGAATGTAAAAATGTGATTCTTTTTTTTGAATTTTTAAAATATATTTTATTGATTTTTTACAGAAAGGAAGGGAGAGGGATAGAGAGTTAGAAATATCGATGAGAGAGAAACATTGATCAGCTGCCTCCTGCATACCCCCTACTGGGGATGTGCCCGCAACCAAAGTATATACATGCTCTTGACAAGAATCGAACCTGGGACCCTTTTCAGTCCACAGGCTGACGCTCTATCCACTAAGCCAAACCAGTTAAGGCAAAGATGTGATTCTTTATACAAATATCCTTTAAAAACCCAAGGGATTTAAACAAATGTAAAATATAATGTGTAGCTGCCACCAAAACAAAGTTCTAAGAGTGTTTGAGTCTTGACAGGACAGTGTCATCCTGATTCAAGTGCCAGCTGGTTTGGATTTTGGAACATCCATCTCATCTGATTTTTCAGGTTTAGATTGCCCACAGCAATATTGGCCTGAGTACCTTTGAATGGTTTGGGAGTGGGAAAGAGATTATGGATGTTGGGAGAGGAGATAGGAGGGTGCCATGCACAGTTGGAGAAGCCCCCACCCCCAAAAGAGTCCTTGCTATGAAAATACCCAAAAGGAAGTAATATGCAAATTTCAAACATAGCAAATCCATGTTATTTCCCAAATCTGAGACTAAGGATAGTAAGGGAGAATAAAAAAGACCCAAGTTCTAGTCCTGGTTTTGTCATGAACTCCATGTACCTTCGGCCTAATCACCTTTAATTCAGTCTCATTTATAAAAGAGGACCTTGGCCTTGATAAGCTCTATCGGGTCCTTTTTACCTTTAACCTTCTGAGTCCAAAATCACCATGCCAGTTGAGACTGTGCGAAATTGTCTCAATGAGAAACATTACAATTGTTGTGTGACCCTAAAATGTTGTCAAATGCAGTTCCTAATTGATGAAATTAATACTCTTATCTAATCAATGGGCTGTTTCAGGGACCTGCTAGGGCGTCTGCATGCACGACTCCGGGGACCAGGTTCAGTGACGCAGATCCGTTTTATTGTGGAACTACAGGGGTATATATAGCATGAGGGGACCAATCAGAGGGAGACACGTTGCTATAGGCGACCAATGGCTGAAAGGCTGGGGTACTGTGCACGTGGCTCTAGGAGTTAGTTCAGGCGGGCGTTGCTACTTCCTGGTGTGCAGAGGAAGCATGTCATGGTGGAGTGTGCTCATACCATTGCATCAGCCGCAGCGCTGAGACATACTTCCCGAGCTCTACTACACATCTCATCTGATTTTTCAGGTTTAGATTGCCCACAGCAATATTGGCCTGGGTACCTTTGAATGGTTTGGGAGTGGGAAAGAGATTATGGATGTTGGGAGAGGAGATAGGAGGGTGCCATGCACAGTTGGAGAAGCCCCCACCACCAAAAGAGTCCTTGCTATGAAAACACCCAAAAGGAAGTAATATGCAAATTTCAAACATAGCAGATCAATGTTATTTCCCAAATCTGAGACTAAGGATAGTAAGGGGGAATAAAAAAGACCCAAGTTCTAGTCCTGGTTTTGTCATGAACTCCATGTACCTTCGGCCTAATCACCTTTAATTCAGTCTCATTTATAAAAGGGGACCTTGGCCTTGATAAGCTCTATAAGGTCCTTTTTACCTTTAACCTTCTCAGTCCAAAATCACCATGCCAGTTGGACTGTGGGAAATTGTCTTAATGAGAAACATTACAATTGTTGTGTGACCCTAAAATGTTGTCAAATGCAGTTCCTAATTGATGAAATTAATACTCTTATCTAATCAATGGGCTGTTTCAGGGACCTAAGTGACAGTGATTGACTCTTACATCATTCTATACATCAAAGGTCCCAATGGGCCAGAAACGCATGGGTGAAACAATACCTCCTCCCACACACACACATGGTTGGATATTTAGAGGAACAAAAGCTTATGGTTGCTTGCAAAGTCCTAATGTAGATTTAAATAATTAAAACTACAAACTCAAACACAGACCTGGCTTAAGAACTCTTCGGACAAAAACAAGGATGAGAGGGAGAGAAAAAAAGTAACAGCAAAGCTTATGGGAAATAGAAACACAAAATAAGGCTGCATTCATGTAAGAATCTAGAGCAGGAGTGGGGGACCCTTTTTCTGCCAAGAGCCATTTGGGTATTTACTGTATCACATCATTCATGGGCCATACAAAATTATCAACCTAAAAATTAGCCCG